ATTAAATTTAGAATTTCCAAACGATTTCCTTTCAATTGGACCCTTAATTGGGGTTGATCGAACAATTTACAATTTTTGTCGGCCAGCATCATGTCAAAATTTGATTAATTTTTAAAAATTAATTGGTGAATGTACAAACAAATATTTTCACTGTACAATCATGTCCTAACGACGTACAATCGAGTACATAAGGTCGTTTTTTTAATTAGTGCCCTATGTCGGCTAAGTACCTGGAGGTCAACCCCTACTACCTGAGATCTAGTTACAGATAGTTGAGGATATAGTGAGGTAAGATCTAGTGAGAATTACCAACTTCATAAGAGAAATGTATGCCCTAGACAGATGGATAATAATCGAAACCCGAAAAATGTGCATAATAGCTCGTTGCTATGTGGCTATCTTTGTTAATATTCAACTAATTCAACCGATAATTGCATCAGTGGAAAGCTGATACGCGATTTATATAATGTAACTAAGGCCAGTTTTTATCTAAATGATCGCGTGAATTGATTATTAAAAAAAAATAGATTGGTGGTTGTGGAGGGGGAAGTTGTGTGGTGTATAGATACTTGGTCGCTCTTGGTGATTTCGTGGACTTGGCCCGATACGCTCCCGCGTATCTCGATCTCTTGAGTGAAAATTTATGCTTCGAACATTTTTATCATTCTTTACCATATATGTCTCTCAAATAATATATGTCTCTCTTGCCCATGTACACCTAATATACGTATACGTGAAATCAAACTTTTTTGTCGGTGTTGGTAGACACCTATCCGGCCACTTATATAATTATATAAAGTGTTCCGAAGAGTCCTAAATTCACCTTTGGCGACCCACTCCCCATGTGACAATTTCTAGCAGGGTATCTGGCAGGGGTACGTATTGTATACCAAAACCTTTTTGTCTCATAGATTTTGCAAGAGACGTTGGAATTGAGGGTAGTAGTGCGCAATACTCACCTCTTTGGCCACAAACTGCCTGAATTTCTTTGAAAATTTTCACTTCTTAGCCGAACGCCTTACTTTATAATTTGTCATTAACTAATTTTGTTTCTATTCAGTATGACAGTAGCGGTCCGCTCATAGTGAAGAATAAAATCGTTGGAATTTCATATTGGATACATGGATATTTCTGTGCTAACGAATACCCTGACGGCTACACCAGAGTGTCCAGCTACCTCGATTGATTCATAATATTATCGATTCTGAGGAGAAGGCTAAAACTTCCAATCTTCGAAACTAATTGGTCGTATGAGTATCATATCAGTAAGAGTATGTAATCACGAATTGTTAGTAAAAGGAAAAGTAATATATCAATAACTCCTACGCCACAGGTGGAATTTTTTACTTCAAAAAAAGCCCGGCAACAAATTTTGAATGTTTTTATCCGTTTCACAATAAGATATGCCTCTAGATCTACTTTTTCATTGTTAAATATATGATTAATTGAATGATTATGTCGACTGGTGATATTTATCTTACAACTAGAAACACTTTTTTTGTAGAGACCGAAATCTTCCATTGGAAAAATCTTTTGATAATTTTCTCGGCAAATATACATCAAGCCGATTCCCTAATTATGGGGGTATGAAATACTGAACTGAATGTTTTTATATTAATGCAGACTTACCGACAAGCGGACTGCTGAATACTCCAAGGCAGTGGGTATCATCGACCCACCTGAGTTCGAACCCTCCATTTTTGAAGGTGCTGAATACCGCTGCAAGGTCACTAGTTTTGAAATCAGAAGGAAAATTGTAGATTTCAATCACATGAGCAAATTCGTCGCTGGAGACCTCGAAAGGTCTGCTGAACGCTTTGTAGTCATTTTTTGGTTGCTCTATCGTTACTTCTCCAACTGCAGCTGTTAACTATATAGTAAAGAAAAAGTAAAAAAATTTTCATACTTGTTGTTCACGAACTGCATTCGTTCAACAAAGTAGGTAAAAAAAACAAGTTTGGAAAATTAAGACACATTAATTCGGAAATATCTCTGCGTGGTAGTGGTTTGAAATTCATGGAATAGTATATTGTGCTACGAGAATTGAAAGCTGTACATTGCTGATGCGGAGATCACCCAGGGCCGGTTTGTTTATGTACTTTTTGTTCTAAAAGCCCGGTTAATACTCTTCCATTTGAACTGAACGGGCCCTAGGCGCTTTCCGTAAGAATTGGCCGTCCCCACTTTACCGTCCAAATAGTGGGTTAGATTTTCACAAAAGCGGGTTGTCGCCTTAAGGAACTTCCACAGTAAGTTTATGGGCTATACAGTGGGGGAAAATATTAAAGGTTCCGACAGTGCGCTGCATCGTTCGAAAAAAAAATAATGAAATTGCAAAAAAGTCATGACTGTATCCAAATTTCGTCGATTGGGTTTCTTCTCGTGTATTATTTATGACTAATCAATCATCAATCATTTCTATTCCGAAATAAAATTTACACGATTTTTTTGATAAATAAAAATTGTCACGAGAGATCTGGCGACCACGTATTTTCGTTCGACGCAGTTGGTATTCTTGTCTCCCTAGAAAATCCTACACTGTACTGTAAAATCTATAGTACAGGCCTCAACAGAGTGAACCGATGTAAACAACACGTGATGTTAACGGCCGCAAGACAGTTCAGTCAGTGCCATAAAAATAGAAGAAAAAGAAGAAGAACACGTGATGTTGGAGAAGTTAACTTGGGTTATATTGTGAATGATTCTACGGGAAAAACTGAATATCTAACGCAATGGAAGAATCAAATAAGTTGGCAAGATCGAGGTACAAGGGGAGACTTATTAAACAGAAGACACTGGAGCTGAGAAATTTTGCTGAACATGTGGGAAAGGCCAACAAAGTGAGAAGAGTAAGTGAACCGGAGGTCGAGACGAATGATGAACTACCGGAGGTCGGGACGAGTGATGTTTTTCCGGTAATTGTGGGAAATCGCTGTGTCGATTTGACATTATTGAGTAATGAGCTTGAGTGTGACATGTGTAAGAACCCCTTGTCGTTGAAGAACATTGAAAAAGAAACGAAACATGGTTTGGGCTCCTATCTCCACATCAGATGTGTACATTGCCTGTTTTTGAAGCCTGTCCCTACTAGCCAATGCATGGAAGAACCAGAACGTGGAAACAGGAAATTTTTCGAGATTAATTACCAAATGGCTATGGGTGAGTATCCAATGTCCTCACATTTTATTATACACATTCAAATATTCATGATTATATTATTGAAATTACTTTCCCAGCTTGCCTTCACGTTAGAATTGGTAATCAGGGATTGAATAAGTCATTGGCATGTGGAAGGATACCAACGCTGAATTGGAGTACCCATAAAGAGAATGAGAGGAAAGTTGGACCCATTGCCGAAACTATTGCTAAAGAGAGCTGCACCAGGGCTACAAAAATTGAGAGAATTAACTATTAAGATTGTTGGAGAAATTGAAAAGATGGTGTAAGGACAAACGATGCAATATATCCATGAAAGAATTTAATCTAAAAACCTAGCCCTTATACAAAATTCTATTGATGTTCTATTGGAAGTTCGTAAGAATTCTATTTATACTCGATTAAAATTCTGTTAAAGAATTTTATGTTTCCTACGCCAATTATATTTAAAATTATGCAACTTCCTCATGTGTATTCCCATGGATTTGTTAAGAGGACGATGTCTATAGGTGTTGTTTTTTCTCCATAACTTATTCTGTTGAAATTTGACCTGTAAAAATTTTTGGACACGGATTTTCGATTTTTTTAATGGTTTTATCATGAGGAAGAAATGAAAATACAGTGTTAGAAACTTAGAAAATCTTGGCCCAAAAATTTCGACAGAAAAACGAGAAGCTAGACTTTTTCCGATCAAATATGGTTTTAAAAAATGATAGGCTCATAGGATGCTTTAATATAATTCTAATAGACCTTCAAGAGAATTCTTATAGAATTCCAATAGAATTTGAGGAGAATCTTCAGAGAAGAAGCTAGGTTTTTAGATTAAAATTTTTCATGTATGTTGCATTTTCTTTTTCATCTCTGTTTATATTTTTCAATTTTCATCAAATTTTATTTCATTATCTATTTTCATCTCTTTTTCTTTGGTTCTTTAGTGTGATATTTACAGCCTTATTTAGGCAATCAATTTACTATTTCATGACAAGATTTCATTCTAATGAATTGATAATCCAGCTGTTATTATGTGAACCGATTTTCTCCCTCAGTGATCTTGTTTTTTTTAGTTATCATTTTTTTCATTGCATTTCTGTACTCTGGCTGTCCAGTTTGAGTTCCAACGCTCTATTTAGCTAATTGAACACCTCTGTACAGAGATGTATGTTGGATTTTCTTGTTCATCTCTTTTTATATTTTTCAATTTTCATCCAACTTTATTTGATATTTCATTTTTAACTCTTTTCTCCTGGTTCTCCAGATTGACCTTTTAATGCCTTATTATAAGGGCAATAAATTGCTAACTATTTCATGAAAAGATTTGATTCTAATGAATTGATATTCCAGCTGCGATTATGCGAATTGATCTTTTCCCTCATTAATCTTGTTTTTTTTACATTATTTTCATTCCATTTCTTTACTCTGGCTATCCACTTTAAGTTTTAGGGCTCTATTAAACTAATTGATCAACTCCCCTTTACAAAGATTTATGATTAATCAATCGAGTTTTTAATCTCATTTATAATTATACACCAAACGATTTCTCCAATAATCCAAATTAATTGTTACATCGTAACACCTGTGAAGGTTTGAGGCTGCGTTCACATGCTGGCGATAAGCGGTGGCAGCACCTTACCGGCACCGTTTTCGCTAGTAAGTGCACGCGCCGACGGCTGCATGTAGGCGACAAATGGTGGCAGCACCTCACAAGCACCATTTTCGCTGGTGTGTGCACGCGCCGACGGATGCATCAGTTAGTAAAAACCGATACTGAAGCGTGTGTGGAGAGCTAACAAAATCCACGATTTATCGAGTCATCTTGACTTAAAACCTAACAAAACCAACAAAATCAACAACTTAAAATAACTAATAACAAATCTAGTGCACTAGTGAACGATAATTCTAAGCAAAGTGGCTAAGAATTAACAACCAAAATAAACGAACAATCATCGGCACGAAATCACACGGTTTCGTGTCCCCACGTGGCACAGAAGCCACGCTCCTAAGGACACAATCAACAAATTGCGCCAAACAACCCCCAAGTTAGCCTGCGTAATCAAAGTATTAGTGTAGGTTCGGTATTTGTATGTGTGGACGCGTGCTAGCCGTTGTCTTGAACCGTTAAACAACAAAAATACTTTCTGTTATATGTATGTGTCTGTGAACCCACGTGTGACACCGCCATTCCCAGTGAATCCTCCAATTTGGTGTATTGATAATAAATCTGGGTTTTTTATGCCGAAAGGCTTTTCCCCACAAAACTGTATTCTTTCTTTTTTTTTATATAATTTAATGCAGCTATCATACCACCTAGGGTATTCAACGTCAATTCATTAATTTATAAGTCAAGTGTTCTATGTTAAAAACAAAACCAGGATATTCAATTGTGACGGCTGAGGTCGTCACCCCAAAATATATATATATATATATATATATATATATATATATATATATATAT